TGTGTATGCATGTATTGCCTGCATGTGTGTAAATGCACCCATGTGTGCAACGCCCATAGAGGTCAGAAGAGGGCATCGGATCCCCCAGAACTGGAGTTGTTAGCCACCATGCAGGTGCTGGGAACTGAACCTGAGTGTTAAGGTTCAGATAGCCCTGCCCCATCACCAACATGGTCTCAAGGACTTCTCAAGCTTCTGAGAAAGGGAACCCAGCTGATAAGCGCCCTGGTCTTTGAAGTCAAGAGAAGCAGACTTTTCTCCACTGTTTAGCCAACACAGCAGGCTTCCCCTTTGATCTCTAAAGAGAACAGGTTTTAACAGTCCCACTCTCCCACTCCCCCCCCATTAAAAAAAATTATGTCTTCCCACCTTCCGCAGGAAGCAGAAGCCTCACCCCTTAAAAAGACCCCAGCTCATGACTGGGCAGACATTTTCCCTGCCCAGAAGGGAATCTGCCCCATGTGTTCTTTTGCTAATAAACTCTGCTTTCTCTTGATCAACCCTATTCATCAAAGGGCTAGTTTATTTATTTATTTATTTATTTATTTATTTATTTATTTATTTATTTATTTATTTATTTTTGTCTTTTTGAAGCAGGGTCTCCCTGTAGCTCCAGCTGTCCTGGAACTCACTATGTAGACCAGGCTGGCCTTGAACTCACAGAGATCCGCCTGCCTCTGCCTCCCAAGTGCTGAGACTACAGGCATGTGCCACCATGCCCAGCTCATATGGCTTTTTTTTTTTTTAATCACTGAGTCCTCTGCAAGAGCAGCTAGTACTCTAACTGCTGAGCCATCTCTCCAGCCCCAAAATTTATTTTTAATGTGAATGTGTCTGTGTGTGAACACTAGTGCCTCAGATGCCAGAAGGGGGGGCGTTTGATTCCCTAGAGCTAGAGTTGGGGGTAGTGTGAGCTGCCTGACATATGTACTGGGAACCAAACTCAGGTCCTCTGTTAGAGCAGCAAGTGCTTTTAACTACTGAGTCATTTCTTTAGCTCCTCTATTTCATTTTTAATGCCCATATAATATTCTATTACCTGGGCATTTAGGCACCTTAATTTACTGATCCCTTACTATGGACCTGTGGGCTGTTTCCCTGTGTCCACTATTGTGCACAGCTGTGATGACCAGCCTTCTTCAGGTGTATTTACCCATGTCCTTGGTCTATACCTCTGGCCACCTCAATATATACCTCCAAAGGTGGGATTAGCTGATTAAATGACATGAATGCATTTAAAACTTTGGTTCCCACTGCACAAGGAACCTTGGGGAAGGCAGCAGTGCTTTACAACCAGAGGTGGATATGCAAAAGGACCATTCAGGCGCTCACCCACAGCCATCCAGAGTGAAGCAAGATACAAGACTAAGAAGGGCCTGAGTTGCAGTGTGCCCAGCCCCATGGGGTAACTTGTCTGCTGTAGTCAGTCTGAAGATGCTAAACAGCTAAAAAATGGATTGCCAAATTCCTAAAAACCTAACAACCACTGCAGAAGCCCGTGGGAGCTGCCCCAGCCCCAGTATGTGTGTTGGGATTTAACCCGAGGAGCTCATGGTGGGTTTCATATCAGCTTGACTGGGCCACAGGGTGCCCACATACTTGGCTAAACACAGTTTGGATGTGCCCATGAAGGTATTCCCAGATAGATTTAAGATGGGAGCCCTCAGACAGAGTAAAGCAGAGGGCTGGTCCTTAATCAGCGGAAGGCTTGAACACACAAAGAGCAGACCCTGGGGGCAGAGGGACTCATCCCCAGCTGTGGGGAGCTGGAATATGGGTCTTTATGGACTCGAGTCAAGCAGGCTTCTTGGCTCTCCAACCTGCTGGCTTTGGGACTGAAATGATGTCATTAAACCTATGGTGCTGGCACTGGTGGGTCTCCAGCCTGGCAAGTACAGACTGGGGACTTCTCGACCTCCATGTCATATGCACTGATCTTTATAACACATCTCCGCATGTATATGCACGTATATACATGTCATACATGCATGTGAAATTATAGGCATGTATTATAGATACCTGTGACTATGCATATGTGCACTGATAATATACATTATATATGGGTATGTACATTATTTATGCACACGTGACATGTACATTATATGTACTTGTGTGAACATATATATCATATGTATGTCTGAAAATATACACACTACATTATATGTGCATGTGAATATATATTACATATGAACCATAAATATGTGTATAGATTATATGTGTATTTGTATGTTAAGTGTGCAAATGTATACATTATATAGGTGAATGTGAATATATTATATATATGTATGTAAATACATATATATTATATACATGTATATTATATATGTATATTGTATATACATGAATATGTAATTACACATATGGACACGAGTATACTTTACACATGTGCATGCAAATATATATGTGGTTCAACCAGACAATGGAATACTATTCAGCCTAAAAGGAACTGAGCTATACCGTTCAGCAAAGGACATGGAGAGTCTTAAGTGCACGTGACCTGGTGAAGGCAGCGGGTACATTACTCCAATTGTACAGCAGTCTAGAAGAAGCAAGCCATGCAGACAGTGAGAAAGTTGGGGCTGAGGAGGGAAGGTGGGGTGGGGTGGGGTGCACACTGCCCTGATGAGCCTGTGATGCTAGACACCTGTCATTAAACGCTTAGCAGTGAAGCTGGGTGTGGTGGCACAGACTTTTAATCCCAGCACTCCGGAGGCAGAGGCAGGTGGATCTCTGTGACTTTGAGACCAGCCAGGTCTACTTAGTGAGACTATGTCTCAAAAAAAAAAAATGTGTGTGTGTGTGTGTTTTGCACGTGTGCATGTGTGTGCATTGTGTGCATATGGAGGCTATGGATCAACAGTGGCTGTCTATCTCTGTCACTCTCTACCTTATTCTTTGAGGCAGGGTCTCTCACTGAATCTAGAACTCTCCAGAACGGCTAGACTGGGTGGCCAGTGAGCCCCACAGATCCTGTGGGGAGTACAGGCATGTGCTGTGCCTGACCTTTTATGTGGGAGTTGGGACTCAACTCAGGTCCTCACGTTTATGTGGCAAGCACTTCCCTGACAGCCATCTCCCCAGTCCCAGGTCCCCAAGTCCAGGCTCCTGGAGGGCAACCTTGCTAGCTAGGTTTCTGAGCCTCACCCTGCCTCCTGCTAGATGTGACCATGGCTAATATGTGGCCCTACTTGCTGTTTCTCAACCTCTAAGAGACAGCAGCAGGGTGTTGAGAGAGTCACAGGCCCAGAGGCCCAGGCTCTCCCTGCCACCTCTCTGGACCTTCATCTGGGTCATAGGGACAGAAGGGCCTCTGAAGGCCCACCACCTCCCAAGGCTGAGGCTTTGGTCTCTAAAGCAGCTTTGATAATCTGAGTTTTCTCACCCAGCATGACATCCTAGAAAGCCCCCAAAGGCAGTAGCCACTGTGGCCTGTGAACATAATTAAAAATAAGTGGTTCAGGCTGAGGATGTGGCTTAGTGGAGTGCTTGCCTAGCGTATGTAAAATCCTGCATTCCATCTCCAGAACCAAATAAAACGGTACAACGGCACATGCCTGCAATCCTGGCACTTAGGAAGCAGAGCTATGAGGATAAGAAGTTCAAGGTCATCCTTGGCTACAGAGCAAGTTTTAGGCCAGCCAGGGTTACATGAGATTCTCCCTCTCAATGAGCATATTATATTGTATTGTATTGTATTATATTATAATATTAATTATATTATATTATATATATACATACATATATGTATGTATGTATGGGACTGAAGAGATAACTCAGCAGTAAAGAGCACATAATGCTCTTGCAGAAGACCTGGGTTAGCTTCCCAGGACCCACATCAGGCAGCTCACAACTGCCTGTAAGTCCAGTTCCAGGGACCAGCAAGCATCACTCTAGCCTCCATGGGCATCTGCACACACATGGTACATATAAACTCATATAGGCACACACACATAAATTTAAAAAATAAACCTTAAAATGTGTAAAGCATTACCTTATTAGAAATAGTTGGAAACACCTCCAGTACCCACTTGGTCTACACCAGTGGTTTTCAAAGGTTTTCAGAGCATGGGCCCTGGGAACGTATCAAAGACTCAAGCTCCTCTGGCCACCTCAGACCTGCTGAGCAGACTCAAAGCTAAAGAAGAATGAACTCAGGTGACTGAGGCACACCCCATCTGAGAACTGCTGGCCCAGAGCAGGGCTGGCTCACCTTGGTGCTGTTGAAGGCCCTGGGCCCGCATCCCCAGCTCCACCTACCGGCTGCCCAATAGCCTGCCGCCCCTACCCCCAACTCGGGACATAAACCGCTTCTAGAGGTGCCGGGGAATCAAACGGGCCTTGCTGAGAATCCCTGGCCGAAAGGCGGTCCCTGACTTGGTGTCTTGAGGTATTTGAGATGCATACGAGACCACGACAGGGAACCTGGCTGTTGCCGCTCTGCTGGGTCGTTTGTTCCTCACGGCAGCTTTGAAATGCTTCTGTTATAACACGGTTGACTTTCCTGCTCATGAGCTGTAGGGTCTAGGGTGACTTACTTAACTCTCTGTGTCACTGTGTGCTCAGCTGTGACTTAGGAACAGAAGCCTACGCCCTGGATAGGACCGTTCAGCTCCCAGGGTGACAACTCGGGCACCACATTCCCAGCCCAGTGACTTACACAGTGAGCCTCAAGAAACAACCAGTCAGTCTCTGATGGGCTATCTCAGGCTCTTCTACAGTGGGTTGATGCTGTCTGGCTTCACACTGCCACAGCTAGAGGCCAGCCAAGGTGGGAGGGCATGACTGGGCACCCTAACAGGAGGGGGGGGTCCTGTGGTCACAGAGATGGGGCCTCTACCACTGGACTTCCTTTGCGCAGCGCCTCACTTTGCAGCCCCCAGTGCCGTGTTCAGTCAACACAGGGCAGGGTCCGGAGGCCCAGTCGTCCACCACCACCCATGTCTGGTGAGTCCCGGGGGAGGGGCATCCTAGGAAAAGACTAGAAAAAGCACATTTCCTCTTCAGCATCTCACATCCCAATAAAATATTTATTATTTCAAGAAATAAATCTTTAAAAAACAGAGCAAGAGTGTCTCTATTGCTTTCCCTGGACAGGTCAGATCCTCGGGAACTGGGGCTCCTGCAGCTCTGGTTTCGGCAGCTGCGGGGTCGACCAGGCCAGGGGGCACCTGTGAGTCCCATGGCGGGTCTGGCTCCCTCCTCCAACTGTCCCAAGGGGGCCACTTCCCCGAGGCTGGAGGCAGGTCATACATGAGCAAAGGCAGTGTTCCTGGAGGCCTGGCTGGACTCAGCAGGCTCTGGGGGTGGTAGAGGGGAGGGCATGCCACACAGAGATGGGTACTGGAGTCTGGAAGTGACCTGAGGCTGGGGGAAGCCAGGAGGAGGGGCAAGGGCCTGGCCTGGGTGTTAAGCCGTGTTGGGCTGGTGGGCCCGAGCAGCCAGAACCCACCAAGTGTACAATGGGAAGACCTTTATCCCAGTCTGGCCTGCAAGAGATACTGGGGTGTGTGGAGGGGATGTCAGAGCCTGCAGAGGCGTGTAGGGCCCAAAGGATGCCTTGGTAGGGCTCTGGAGCCTGTTGTCAGAGCTGGAGTGGAAGCTCCCCCTGGTGGGGGGTGACCAAGGCTATGGACTAGAGTCACAGGTTATACCAGAGCAGGTCTCAGAAGAGGACCCAAATGAAGACCTAGAGCAAGCAGGAGATGGGGACAGTCCAACCAGGCCTGGGGATCCCCACATCCCCAGTGGGGGGCCCCAATGTAGGAGATGCAGGAAGTTGGCAGAGGTGAGGAATAGGGAGGGTGGGATAGGAAAAGGGCAGGACCCCTCCCCTAGCTTCCCCTAGCCTCCCTGTCCCGTCCATCCCCAAACAACTCCAGAGGACACCGGTGCTGGATATATGGCTGCCCTCGCAGGAAAAGGCTCTGCAGCTCACAGCAAACATGGCCAAGGCCCGTTTCTTATCCCTCGGTTCCTTGGGTGGACTGGGGAGCAGTGTGGTTTTGGTCCCCAGCCTTGTGAATCAGAAGGCTTGTCCTGGGCCCAAGGCAGGCCAGAGCCATTTCTCCAGCTGGTTCAGACCTCATAAAACAAGAGGCCTCTGTCCACCTGCTCCTAGGCCCATTGGGGCAGGTATATCAACCCATCTACTTGGTCACGCATCCTGTGGTAACCAAGGAGTCCCCTAGGGTGTCGCGGGGTGCTCGGAGCCTTTGTATCCCTCAGCTTTCTCTTTCCACACCTGAACAGGGAAGGAGGCTCCAGCCAGGAGCCACGTGGTGAGCAACGGCTGGGACTCAGAAGATGCTGGTGCTCCCCCTACACGGGGCAAGGCCAGCCTCAGGCGGGCAGGTGCCGGGCAGGGTGCCCTCCATCCTCACAGGCATCCCTGGCACAAGGCCACCTGGCCCTTGCGGAAGTCACGGCAGGGGCAAAGCCGCTGGTACTTGGTGCTGGCACCCGCACAGCTGAAGAGCAGGGGTTCCTTTTGCAGGTAGCACTCCTGGCCAGGCTGGGCGAAGGCAGGGTACAGATGATGCATCTCCCACTCGGTGCTGTCACAGGGCACCTGCAGCCTGCAAAGGTGCCACTGACATCACCACCATTGTTGGGGACAGTGGCTCCCCTGGCCTGGCATGCCCACCCCCTCCGTGGCCTGGAGAAGAGACAGGTCACAGTTCTGAATCCACCTGTCGGAGCCCAGCAAAGGGATGAGCCTGAGGGAGCTGGAGTCTTGGCGACCCAGCAGGGGAGATGTCTGTGACGCAGATGACGCAGATGGAGAAGATGCTCACATGGGCTGGGCAAGGGGCCAAGGGGGTGGAGAGGGCAAGCCTGGGAGGGATATCTCCTTCTGAAATCTTTCTGGCAGATTCCAAAGCATCAAACTGCCAACTCCAGGCAGCTGGGTTGTGGGAGTAGGGAGCCAGGTGAGTGGGCAGATGGGGGCCCAGGCAGGGGCTCACACTCACTTGAAGAAGGCGTCCTGGTTGTTGAGGAAGGGGAAGAAGGAGGGCTCACAGACCAGTCCATGGTCCAGGCAGGCATCAGTACAGGCCCTCCCAGGAGCTGCCAGCCAGGCCTGCAGAGAGTTGGTGGGGGGCCAGGCTCTGGGGACTGAGCTGGCATTCTGGGCCCACTCAAGGTGAGTGGCATTGGGGGCTAAAACAAAGGGACTCTGGGCAGTGTGAGCCGCTGGTGGGGCAGGGCCTGGGCCCACACAGAAGTCCTGTGAGGAAAAGAATGACGTTAGGGAGGAGAACGGGACTCAGGCACCCCAATTCTCCAGTCTGGCACTGTAGTTTCAGTAAGAGCCACTATTGGGCACTTACTGAATGCCAAGCAGCCTCATGCTTTATTTCATCGGCTCTTGGCAGCAGCTCAGGGAATGGATGTTAATCTGCTCCCAGTTCCTATGCGAGGAGTGAAAGCCAAGGTCAGGATGGTGGAGGTGGGATTTGAACCCACACCTGTTTGGGAGACACCCACCCTGAGCCCCTCCGCTTCTCAGGGTTTCTTCTCTGAGGCCCATGACCCCTGCCCAGGGTGGGGATAGGACTCTGGGATGGCCTGTGAGGCCCTCTCCAGGGCAGAGGTCTCAGCATGTGCCTTTTCTGTGAGCTTTAAGGACATCAGCTGGATACCTACTCCAGAGGCAGGGAGTAAGTGGGGAGCCCTAGACTGTGGTCCTCTACCGCTCATTCTGACCCCCAATGAATCCTCCTGTGCCTCAGTCTCTTGTCTGTAGAGTGACAATGTGAACCTCCCACCTCCTCCTTCCCCCCAAGTTCTAATACTCGTGTGGTCAGTAACAGCCACAACAGCTGTCCCCGGGGTCCCAAGTACCGGAGCCCCGCAGTTGGCTTCCTGGTTTCACCCCCATACTTGGAGTCTGACAGAGCAGCAAAGCCCAGACCACCTACAGTCTGGGGAAGCTCAGATCATAGGGTACAGGCAGGTCCCCTGACCCACACTCGCTGGCTTCCTTGGGAGAAACAGCCACCTCGAAAAGCCTGTGTTGCTCTAGCACTGGGGTTGGGGTGGCTGAGCCAGAACAGCCAGGCTTCCCCAAGTTTCACAGGGCAGAGCTTCCCCCCTCCCAAACCCCATCACACTGATTTCTCCTTGGAGACTAGGGTGGGGAGGTGAGCCAAGGGGTTCCTGTCCATCCCACTGGCTCAGTTACCAAAACTATAAATGACTTTTTTTTTTTTTTTTTTTGAGACAGGGATTCCAGCTTGCCTGGAACTGGCTATGTAGACCAGGCTGGCCTCAATTTCACAGAGATCTGCCTGCCTCTGCCTCCCAAATGTGCCACCACACCCCGATGTAAACAACTTTGGAAAAGTGAATATGTAAAGTCTCTATGTTTTCTGGGTCTGTGGTGTAGGGCTGAGGCTATCATCCATGCTTGCTGGACCCTAGTCCCCTGTGGAGTGCAAGGCTTAACGGCTGGCCAGCTACAGCAGTCTGCATAGACCCTGGCACCAGCATGACCCCAACTCTGAATTGATGGGGTTTGGAGTAACAGCCCCAAGTCCCTGGGTCAGAGGACAGAGGGTGACCTACCTGGTGCTGGATGTAGGCATGGATTCGCTCCAGCATCCCTGTACAAGTGTACTCATATGGTAGATAAGGGTCTACCTGTAGGGAGACAGACGGAGGGCCTGGTTGCCAGGGGGTCATACTCCCGCTCAGCTTTGGAGACCAGGCTGGCCCCAGGAGCTGGCCTCCAATCCACCCAGCCCCTCCACTAGCTCAGAGTGCCTGTTCCCAGGTACACCTTCAGGGATACTGGCTCAGTATCCATGCAGTGCAGCCCTCAGGCGCCCCTGTCTCCACATCTCATTCCTCTCTGTTCTGCCCAGGCTCCAAATTTGCTGTACCACACTTCTGTCCACAAAGCCCAGGGCTCCCTCTCCTCTCAAGTACCACCTACCCCTGAGCCATCCTGATCCCACCCTTCCTGGGATGAGGACGGAGGTCCCAGTGACTCCCAGGTCCCTATCTATCCTCCCCTAGTGCAGGCCAGCTCCAGAGTCTCTCCCCTGCAGAGCCACTGAGGGTAGAGATCACAGTTTGTCCACCATGGAGTCCCTGTGGTCTGTCACAGTGCCTGGCACACAGCAGATGTTCAGGAGATGGTCAAGCATGAAGCATCGCCCTCTGTCCATCTCCCACCTAGGACGTGCAGTGTTCACAGAGACACAGGGCAGCTCCCAGTTGGATAGAACAAGACTTTTGCCCCATGTCCTGTCTAGGCCTCCAAGTGTCTAGTAGTCACACAACAACCTAGGCTAGACAGATGGGTGGAATCACTGGGGCACAGGAAGCCAGCACAAAAGCTGGGCATAGGGGACTGGAGAGATTGCTCAGTGGTTAAGAGCACTGATTGCTCTTGCAGAGGACCTGGGTTCAATTCCCAGCACCCACATGGCGGCTAACAACCATCCCTAGCTCCAGTTCCAGGGGATCCAATGCCCCTTTCTGGCCTCTTCAGGCATTTCATACATATGTAGACAAAACACTCATATACATAAAATAATAATAAAAGTGGAAGTGATCTTAAGGAAAGACATCTACTGTTGATCCCAAGTTTCCACATATATGTGCACACACATGCACATGAGCACATACCCCCCCCACACACACAAGATAGCAAAACAGTAACAGAAGTGGCAGGGGTCAGTGGGGGCCTGCTTCCTCCTCCTGGTACTGTGAAGTTCCCGGGGCAGGGGTAGACACATCTGTGTTAAAGAGTCCACAAGGCTGATTAGTGAATTAGAACCTCAATGGTTGTGGAGAGTTGGAATGTTGCAGATCCAGAGTCAAATTATCTTGAGATGTCTTTTATCCTCTCTTCTGCGTCTGACTGAACACCCTTGTGATTATGGCATGAAGGCTTTTAGGATGCATTAGTAACAGACTCCTAGCTTCCACCAACCCAAAAGCTAAGACCATCATCCTACAGATTCTGAGGTCTATAACAAGTTTCCTGGCTTTGCTCCAACCCACTTACCTGATGCTTCCACCAATGTATCTGAAGTATCTTGAGTCATGGTTTTCTTTTTCCTATTACCACAGAAACTTTATGAAACCGTTACCACATTGGAACATATTTGGGGTGACCTGAATTTGTGTTCCTGGGCCATGATCACTTATGTTTGGATCCAGAATAAACCCTTTGAGGTGAGAACTGTGTTTTGTGTTAACGATATTCAACAGCCATCTTTGACTCTCAAACAAGACCCTGCTCCCAGGACTGACTACTGGACATTGTGAATGGGTTTCCTGAGGCAAAGGCCCAGAGGGCCTCCAGAGCCCACATCCAGTCCCTCCATCACTCTGGCTACCAGGGCTGCCTTTCCAGCCTTTTGATCCCCACAATCCTGTCACACCCTGATCTAGTTCCCAAACCAATGAGGTGACCTGCAGCCAGCTACTGCCCCAATACTCAGAACGCAGTGGAGGGAGCCACTGAGTGCTGGTCTTGGGCGTGTCTGGAGATCTCATGGGGTCAAAGTTTCAAACTCAGGCTATATATAACCAACCCAAGGAAGGAGATGTCCCTCCACACATAGCTCCCCTTGTCGAGAGCAACAATATACCTCTCTGTGCTTACAGCCCCTGTCCAATCAAAGGTCCCTGCATGATGGGCATTCCCAGCCAGCTATGTGAACCTTCTGCCGGGCAGCAGTGGCTGGAGATGACTCGGTTAGTCTAATTGCAGACGTCACTGTGTTCAGTCTGACAGTGTGACAAGCGCTGGTCTGGCAGGAACTGGGTGACTTCCAGGATACTCAGAGGCAGCCAGGGTGTCATCCCCTGTTCTCTAACAGGGCATGGCCTCCATCTGGACTATGTGCCCACAGGCTGGGTGGACAGGTGCGTCTTCCCTTCAGGGCACAGCAGCTGCCAGCCTGGGAGACTTTGCTGGTCTGCTGGCCCCTCTTCTCTCCCTCCCTGAGGTCTGAGAGGCCCACACTTGCGAAACGAGCCAAGCCATTTTCTGATGGAGGCTGTATTCCCTGGAGACCCAACCAGCTGTTCCTAAGTCTATTTTCTAAAGCAGGACTGTCAGAATTACCCAGAGTGCCTGTTTAAAATGCAGACTTCAAGCTGCAAAGGTGGACCAAGCACAGATTCTGTGTTGTAAGCGCCGACCCAGGGTTTCTGGGTCTCATGTGGGTTTGAGTACCACCTGACTGACTGGTTTGATTCTTTGAAACAGTCTTACTATGTAGCCCAGAGTGGCCTGGAATGCCCAATCCTCTTTCCTTAGCCTCCTGAGGGAACTGGCCACCAGTCTGAGGTTGAGCTACAGGGGAAGGAAAGAGCCGAACCCTTTGAAGTCCCCTAGAACGCTCTCCTTTTCAATGAGCAGTACCTAAAGGGCTCTGTGCTGGACGACTTCAGGGTCAACGTGACACACCCGGGCTGAGGGAGCCTCAATTGGGGAATTGCCTCTATTGGACTGGCCTGTGGCCATGTCTGAGGGGCATCTTCTTGATGAGTGATGTGGGAGGGCCCAGCCCACTGTGGGTGGTGCCACCCCTGGGCAGGTGGGCCTGTGTTGCATAAGAAAGTAGGCTGAGCAGGGGCCAAGGGAGCAAGCCAGTAAGCAGCGTTCCTCCATGGCCTGTGCTCCAGCTCCTGCTTCCAGGTTCCTGCCCTGAGTTCCTACCTTGGGCTCCCTGATGAACTGCGACCCGGAAGATGTAAGCTGAATAAGCCCTTTCCTCCCCAAGCTGGTAGTGGTCAGAGTGTTTGTCACAGCAATGGAGAACAAACCAGGACAGGCTCCTTCATCCTTTTGTTTGTTTTTGTTCTCTTTGAGACAGGGTCTCCCTGTAGCCCCAGCTGGCCTGGAACTCACAATGTAGACCAGGATGGCCTCAAACACACAGAGATCCGCCTGCCTCTGCCTCCCGAGTGCTGGGCTTAAAGGCGTGTGCCACCACGCCCGGCTGTTATTTTTTTAAATATCTTCTAAAAATTATGTGTACAGGGGCTTGAGAGATGGTTCAGTGAGTAAGAGCACTAGTTACTCTTGCAGAGGATCTAGGTTCAGGTTCCCAGGACCCATATGTTGGCTCATAGCCACCTGTTACTCCAGTTCCAGGGGATCTGATGCCTTCTTCTGGCCTTGAGGCACTGCACACACGTGATGCACTTACAGACATGTAGGCAAAACACTCATACACAAAGTTTCATTTTGGTCTTTTTGAGACAGGGTCTCCCTGCAGCCGCAGCTGGCCTGGAACTCACTGTGTAGACCAAGCTGGCCTTGAACTCACAGAGATCTGCCTGCCTCTGCCTCCCGAGTGCTGGGATTAAAGGCGTGAGCCACCACATCCAACATAAAAAAATTTTAATTTTGTGTATATGTGTCTCTGTGTTGGTGTGTGTACATGAGTGCAACGCCCATGGAGACCAGAAGAGGGTGTCAGATCCCCTGGAACTGGAGTTACAGGTGGTAGGTAAGCCACCTGATGTGGGTGCTGGTGACTGTATTCGGGTCCTTTGCAAGAGCAGTACATGCTGTTAACTGCTGAGCTACTTCTCCAGCCCCTGTTCTTGTTTATTAACTAACTAACAAAATTGAACAGATGCTCATGTTAAAAACAACCACCAAGGGGGGAAAACAGTAAGAAAGAAGTTTCCCTCCCACACTCCCCCTCCCCGAGCATTCACCAGAAGTCCCTGGGGCAGACCACCCGTGCAAGGTTTTCCCGCCTGCTCAGCACACCCACCCACTCCAGTCGTGGGTCAGAACTCTGGGTGCGTCTGTGAGGTATTTCCAGTAATGATGAGTGGGAGGGGGCCTGTCCTGGGTGGCGGCAGCCAATCCTACAGACTGGGCTCATAAGGAATAAAAGAGGGAAGAGGAGAGAGCCCTTAGGCCACGCAGACATTCTCATTGCTTCCTGTCCATCAGGTGAGCTGCTCAACTCCACCAACACTCCCCGTCACAATGGACGGAAGCCTCCAAAACTCTCAACCCAAACAAATCTCTCAGAATGAGGGGTTTTTTTTTGGGGGGGGGGCGGGTGACGGAGATGACTCTGCAGTTAAGAGCTCTTGCTGCTTTTGTAGAGGACCTGAGTTTGGTTCCCAGCACCCACATCAGGCAGCTCACAACTGCCTGTGACTCCAGCTCCAAGGTGATCTGATGCCCTCTTCTGGTCTGAGAGCACCTACATTCACGTGCACATACCCACACAGAGACACACGTGTAAATAAAAAGAATTCATTCTCTTAAAGCAAGTGCTGAGCACACATCATGATTAGAAGCTGCAAAGCTGTCTGCTTCCTGGGTACAGCACCCCCTCACCCTCACCCACCCATGCCCACACCAGCCCTCCCACACTCACTGAACGAGACCCCCATGTTCTACTCTTTACACTGGATAAGCAGCTTCTGGGCCGGCACTGTGGGCACCACTGTTAGATACATGGGCAAAGCCCCAGATGGGCTTTCCGAGCCAGAGCCTGCATGTTAATCAGCTTCTTTGAACAGCTGTATGCAATTACAGTTTCAGATGTGCGTCTCAAAGAGTACAAGCCTACCTACACCTACGGCAGGACTCGGAGAATCTCTACGTGTTCCTCCTGAGAACACTTGGTTAGCACCCAAGCTGTACCTGGAGTGCTTGAGAAGCCTGGTCCTCCAAGGTCCTCGGTATATGATTCCTAATCCACAGCTGCCATGTGGGGGTGTGCACGCTGCTCACTACAGAAAAACACTCTCCCTACACCTACAGGCCGAGTTGGTGAGTGGGGGACCCATGCTTCCCTTCCAGTCTGCATGCCCTGACTCAGGGGTGTGTCGGAGCAAGAGCAGGCTGGACCCCTTTCTAAGCCAGGCCTGAAGGTACCTTCTTCTAACGATAGTGAAGTCCCCCATTGTGACTGGGTCAGAGTCTCACCTGGGTGTTCATGATCGCCTTGATGGCAGCTTCAAACTCCTCTGAGTTGTTGTAGTCAACAGTCCACACGTGAGGTTTGCCGATGAAATTCTCTGCATAGGGGTGCTGGGAGAACACCTGGCCAGGACCAACAGGAGGCTGCTCCCAGCCTGCAGCTGGGCTGGGCTCAGGGAAACCCCCACCCCCCACCCATGTCCCTCTCTCCCTGCACCCCATGGTGCAGTCATGCCCCCATCACTTAGGACAGGTAGGGGGTCCATCTTCCCAGACTCCCAGATCTGGGGCAGGGCAGGGCCCTTCTGCTCACCTCCCTGGAGGTGGGCTTGCCCCGGAAGAACTCGTGGTTGAGGGAGCTGTGGGGCGGGCTGAAACGAGACTGCAAGAAGATGCAGCCATTGGCGATGGCCTCCAGTGGGGCTGGGCCCTCATAGGGGAATCCGAACCCTATAAAGAGCTGGAATGGAAGGCCGGTGAGATAGCTCAGTGGGTAAAGGGGCTTGCCACCAGGTCCAATGACCTGAGTTCAATACCCAGAACCCATGTGTGGGAGAGAACCGACGCCTGTAAGTTGTCCTCTGACCTCCACACCTGTGCCCTAGCACACCCCCTCCCAAATAAATAAATACAGGTTAAAAAAAGAAGTTGGATAGCCAGGCATGGTGGCACAGGCCTTTAATCCTAGCACTCAGGAGGCAGAGGCAGGCAGATCTCTGTGAGTTCAAGGCCAGCCTGGTCTACATAGTGAGTTCCAAGACCACTGGGGCTACAGGGAGACTCTGTTTCAAAAAGACCAAAAATAAATAATTTGGAGAAAAGGGTGACCCAATGGTCAGGGAGGCTGGGCTACCTCAACCTAGGGATTCCAGAAGGTAGAGGCAAGGATAGGGTCAACATTCACAGGAGACTACAGGGGCCATATAGACACCCAGACCATTGTGGGCCTTGGGCAAGTTTTCCCTTTCCTGGGACTCAAGTTTCCCCACTGTGTTTAGGTTTTATAAATGGCTTCTCCTCGCTCTATCAGTCTACAGTACTGGAAGGGGGAAAGAAAGGGCAAACACTCCAACCTAGAGTATTCCGGGTTCACAAAAGACTCCACTTACTCACTAAAACATTCATTCAGTAACTGTGCTACAAGTTCACTGGCTCCAGGAAGAGGCTTAATAAATGATTCTGAGTCTGGGGCTGCTACGTAAGATTGTCCAAGTTGTTCACTGCATGAGGCTCTTCTTGCCTTAATCCCCTGCTCCCAACACATATAACTTCCAAGAGACCCAAAGACAGACCAGGAGAGGGCCGGGATGCCAGCAGGAGACTCTCCCACAGACACAGCCACAGAGTTGAAGTCTAGCTCTGGGGATTACAGAAGCAGCCAGTCAGGGCTAATGACTCTGTAGAGACCCAGCCAGGACTCCCTCAGACTGTCTGACTGTCCCTCGGTGACTCTTACAGGCTAGCTTGCCTTGGGACCCTTGGGGGAGTCATACAGCCCAGCTCCCTTCCGCTGGAGGCCCTGCCTGCCAGGCACCCACGTCTACCAGGGCTCTGGGCAGCAGAGCACATGGAAATGTCAGGCACGGCAGGTGCCCCTCACCCTCGGCTATGGTCTGCAGTGATGGGGCAGGGGCCAGGGACTCACCTTGGCCTTGCGCAGCAGCTGCTGGAACTCTGGCTGTGGCAGGAGGCCGTGGTTCTTCACGAAGGCAGGGACCTCAGGTGGACGCTGGCTCTCATAGTACACAGTACCATGGATCTCCATGTACTTGTTGAGGATGGCCAGGAACTTCTCCTTGCCCTTCAGGAAGAGGAGGAGATGGGGCCTGCATTTATGCTCAGGAGACAGAGCCAGTAGAGGTGCCCCTACTCTGGGGGTCAGGACTGGGGCTCATCTTAGGCTGATCATTAACTTGCTGTGTGGGCTGGACAAGGCCCTTCTCTTTGGTCTTCAGTTTTCTTTGAGTTGCAGGACCTGGACTACACTTGAGGTGTCTGTGTTATTTTGGGCCACAGAACTATTTGCTTTCCGAAGGAGCTCAAAGAGACCCAATAGTTAAATGAATCCATGAACCCCAATGCCCTACTGGCCTGTGGAACTCTCTGGAACTTCATTCACCAGGCACCCCTCCCTCACACATTGACATCTACCAATCCATCTGTCCACCCATCCCCTTGTCCATCCATCCATCCATCCATCCTCCATCCATCCATCATCCATCCACTTAGCCATCCAGCCAATCATCTAACCATATCCTGTCCATCCATCCATCCATCCATCCTCCATCCATCCATCATCCATCCACTTAGCCATCCAGCCAATCATCTAACCATATCCTGTCCATCCATCCATCCATCCATCCATCCATCCATCCATCAATCCACATAACCATCCTACCCATCTGTCCATCCATCTATCCGTTCACCTACCTATTCATCCATCTAGCCACTCATCCAGCAACCCACTCATCCTTCCATCTATCTATCTATCCATCTGTCCATTCACCCATTCATGTCTACTGATCTCCTGTCCATCTATCCATCTTTCCATCCAATCAATCATCTGTCTACCCACATCCTATCTATCCATTCATCTGTCCAGCCATCTATATAACCATCTTTCTACCCATCCATCTGTCCATCTATCCATTCACCCACCTATCCATCTACCCATCCAGCAACTCCGTCTTCTCTCCATCCACTCACCCATCTATCAATCCATTCACCCATTCATCTGTCTACCTACCCCCATGTCCATCCATTCCTCCATTCACTCAGCCATGCATCCCTCCTTCCGTTCAAGAAGGAAGAATGCACAGATGGAAGTTCTGAATTGGAGACCTAGGCCCCTATGGGTGCCTGCACACACATCATACACATACAGACAAGCAGGCACACACACATACATATAAATAAAAGCTAGATGTGGTGGCATACACCTTTAATTTCAGCACTCAGGAAGCAGAGGCAGGCAGTTCTCTGTGAGACTGAGGCCAGCTTGGTCTATCTAGTGAGTTCTAGACCAGTTGGGGTTACAGGGAGACCCTGACTCAAAAAAACAACAAAAATAAAATAAGGCACGCGCACACACACACACACACACACACACACACACACACACACACAGATGGTTATGTACAGTTGTCCTTCAGTATCCACAGGGATTGGTTCCAGGACCCTAGAGAAGATACCAAAATCTACAAAAGCTCTGGTCACTGATATAAAAAAACCTGAAGTGTTTGCCTAAAATCTACTCCATCCCTCAAACCCTCATAGTTCTCTAGTCAAACAGCCCCAAACCCATAGCCCCTGAGGATCCCAGGAAGATGGGCCTGCGTAGCACATGACACCTGGCCAGGATGCCAACTTCTAAACAAGACGTGGTTGGTGAAGGCCCTCCTTTCTCCTCTTCCTCCTTTGCTTCTCCGGGTACCTGGTCCCCTGAGCTCCCCAAGGCATTTGTCCCAGACTACTGTTTTCTTGTTCTATTCATCTGGCTACCTCTGACTCCTTCACAGACACTGGGAGGACATGGTTTCTTTGAGGCGTCTGAATAGGGTTACTCTGGGCTGTCACCAAAGCTGCTGAGCTGTGAAGACAGGACCTCCCCCGCACAGGTGCTTTCTCCCCTCCACCTGTGCCCTGCATCCACATTTCTTGACTTCCTCGGTGGCTTCAGCAAGTTCCACCTCTCTAGCCCCAGATATCCCAGAGGGACCTTAGACCTTCCAAAGTTTCTTCCTGTCGCCCCACAGCCCCTGTCATGCTGAGAAGGCTAGGCACAGTAGGGGTTCAGCAGCCCAGCTCTGGGCTCAGCTAGATGTAGTTGAAATGCCCGCTCTGGGACTCGCTAGGTGTGGGCTACCCCTCTTAGCCTGCTGAGCCCTGGATTCTTTATCTGTGACATGGGCCCAATAGCATGCAGCCCTCATTGTCTGGGGTTGGAGGGAGGCGGAGCAAGGGAGAAGACACCCCTGATATAAACTATGAACAATTCAGAAAAAGATGTGCTATGTGGTTCGTCTACCTGCGCCAGGAGAAAGGGGCCCTCGGAGAACCCAGGCAACACCTGGACTTCAGTTTTTGTTTTTTTGAGACAAGGTCTCATATAGCCCAGGTGGACCTTGAATTCAGGATGACCTTGAACTTTTGATCCACCCGCCTCCACCAACCAAGTCCTGGGATTATAGGCATGTACTACTATTCCCAGTTTATGTGGTGCTGGGAATTGAACCCCCAGCTCCGTGCACGCTAGGCAAGCACTCTACCAACTGAGCCACATCCCCAACCCATCCATACCATCTGCCTTGTGTCTGTCCTCTGTCCCTCCTACCCTTAGGAGCTGTTCTGTGGCTGTGCCCCTCCCCTCACAGAGGGACCCAGGGAAGACAGCTCCTTGGCCCTCACTGTCCTCACCCTCCTGCCCCCTCCTCCCCACCCTGGAGCATCAAGGGGAACAAAAGACTCACAGTCAGGGCATGTCCCTAGGGAGACCCCACAAGACAGCCACTGCTGGAGACAGAGGCAAAGCATGCATACTGAGGTTTCCCTACCTGGAGCTGCCTCATCGCCAGGGAGCACAGGGAACAGAGGAGAGAGAGGTTAGTGGTCGGAAGCAGGCATTGCCCCTTGGAAACTTCCCTCAGGGTAGAGGGGACCTGAGCTGGAAGATGGAGTCCTAATTTCTAAACCCCTCTTGCCTCTCATCCCGCCTAGTCCCATTCTAGCCTAAGCCACCCTTGCGGGGTTTACATCACTCATCCATCGGTTCCTGTAAGCGGGGGTGAGGGTGTCATCAAAACAGTCATCTAGGTTACTGTGAACAGTCCAGGGGTGGAGGGGGACTGCTGGCAACTTTGGGGAGTGGGGGGCTAGTCCCAAACTTTTAACAGACATTCCATCCACTACAGACTGCAAAGGTGTGGGCTTGGTAGATAAGGGCTGGGCATGGCCTGTATTTGTATGGACGGGGCCTTCACGGTGGTAGGTGTGGCCCACAAGATGACCTGGTGTAATGGGCGTGGCCAAGCACTGGCATGGGTGTGACCTGTGTGGGTGGCCTGGTGGGTGTAGCCAATGCTGGCATGGGTGTGGTCTGTACTTGAACAGGTGTGACATGTGCAGTGGGTGTGGCCTGCATTTGGATGGATGAGGCAGCACAGTGAACACACAGCCCTCATAGCACCCTTGACAGGCGTGGGCTGCAGTGGTCACAACCTGTGCTGGAACTTGAAAGAGTCAGGCTGGTAGGCTAGCCTGGGCTCACCTTCCAGATGCTGGCCTCCTTGCCATACACCACCGCCATGTTGCTGGCCTTGCCACCTTTGATGAGCTGCTTTTCCGTCTCATTGAGCTCCTCAGACACAAAGCCCATGAAGGAGTTGTCCGGGGTGTGAGCTGCAGCCCACGGCAGTGGAGGGAAAAGGTTACCAAACATCCAAGCAGTACCCCTTGTCCTCCTGAAGTTGCCTCTCCCAAGTGTTCCATTGAGCAGGTATGGGCAGCACCCATCAGTGGCCTGGCCTGGTCTCATCCTGCTTGGAGAGCTTGGAGCAAGAGACGTAAGGGACCACCCACCTTTTCAACTTGCTTTCAGAAGAAGGAACTGAGGCCCAGGTATGGCTCCCTCTCTGATCACTCCCTTCTAATGGGTGGCTGCACCCAGACCCGACCGTTTCTCCCAAACCACGTGCATCCCTGCAGGCTGATCTCCTCCCCTGGTTCATATTTCCCTGGGGCACAGTGGCTGTTACCCTGTTCCCAGAGTCCTCTTGGCCAAATCTTTTCTCCAGAACAATCCTTTCTGTCCTAGGTCCCATGAGGTCCCTAGTCCTGCCCAAGACCCCACAGCCAAGGTCCCTCCCACAATCTCCAGGCTCTGCACACCTCCCTTAGAGAGGCTTCTTACCCCCATCCCATCCCACATCTGGGGCCCCCCCTCTCTGCAGACAGGTCTGTCCTGACCCCAGCTGCTCACAGTCCCCTCCCCTGTTCTATTTTCGTCCCAACACTCTTGACACAAGTTTCATTATACACTTCTTCAGATATTCTTTCCAGAATAAAAGCGCGAGGTGGGCAGCAGGGTTTGCTCACTTCCGTGTCCTGTCCAGAAGCTGCAGAAACCACCATCTTCCCTGCCACACTCTGAGTCTTGTTTTCCGCTTCCTTCTGCCTGGATCCCCCTCCTCCCTTTCCTGGGTGATAGACCCCTACAGGCCCCCAGAGACTCACTCACCTGTCCCCCTCCTCCCAGAGGCTTCTCTGGGGTCCAGGACCCTTCCTTGGGGCCCCTCTGCTGTGGTCTCTGCACAGAATGTAGGGATCTCCCCTAGCAAACAGCTGAGGGCAGAATCTCAGTCTCTTGCTTCCTTTCCACAGAGCCTGATCAGCTCTGCAGCACTCCACACAAGATCCCCCTCCCTTTGCACTAGGACCTGGAGTCAAGTGCTTCCAGAACCTAGTCCAGCTACCCTACCTTCCTATGTGGAACAGGCACTGAGTGCGGGCTGCAAGCACAGCATGCTTAGTTTCCCAGGACACCCAAATTCCTGCCACTGGGCTCCTGCCCCTCAGGAAGCCCCGTGGGACATCCCAATCCACATCTGGTGCATCCTAGGCTGGCTTCCAATGTAACCCAGGGTGACCCTGAACTTCAGATCCTCTTGCCTCCGTCCATCTCCCAACTACTAGGATTACGGGTATGAGCCACCATGCCCTGCTTGTGCAGTGCTGGGGATGAACCCAGGGCCTCGTGCATGCTACCAGCTGAGCCACACCTCAGGCTTCTCATCACAGAGCCTGGGGTGCTCACAGCCCTTGGCTGGCTACAAAACAGACCAAGCCCCCCTTTGGGTGAGACAGGGCCCTGCCCCAAGGCCCAGAGGTCTCTCTATGGGTAGTCAGGACAGAGACCAGCTCTGCTGTCCCCTAGGGTCTCCTCAACTAGAAGCACCCCCAAAGTAGACTCGCCCAGATGGACAGATGCCTGCTGGCTGCCTCCCTCTCCTCTTCCTCCTCCGCCCCTGGCTGGCTGTCTCTTCTGGCTACTGCCACAGCTGAAGGGCCATCAGAACTGCCCTGCACTCCACCAACTCCCCCGGAAGGGACAGATTTAGAGCACAATTAGCTTAAACCAGTCAGTGTGAGTAGACGGGAGCATGGCGATCCATTAAAAGATAACAAGGGTGATTAAGCAAAGAGCTCAGAGTGGTGAGGGTTAAGCCAGGAGAGGGAAAGCTAAAGCTAGCTAGCCTGGGCTGCAGGAGACCCTGTCCCAAAATACCAAAAAGGAAAGCAATTATAATGTGGGAAGGCAATACATTGTACCTAAAATAGGAAACGAGGGGTCAGGGTGAATGAGGAGAAAACAGAAGAAACATTTGACTTGGGGTTCAGGAGGATGTGAGAGAGCCTGCCAGGTCTGTAACTCCACATCCAGGGGCCCAGCCCCTGGATTTGCTCATGCAGTTTCTTTTTAAAAAATATTTTATCACATTTTTCTATTTATCATCTGTTTATGTGTGTATGTACACACATGTGCATATAATAAAAATATTTTATTACATTTTTCTATTTATTGTGTGTATATGTGTGTATGTATGTATGGACATGTGTGTGCATGTGTGCCAGGGTGCGTGGAGGTCAGAGGACAATTTGTGGGAATCAGTTTTCTCTTCCCACCACATGGATTCCAGGGATTGAACTCAGGTCGTCAGGCTTGGTGGCAAGCTCCTTCACCCGCTGAGCCATCTCGCAGAAGCTGCCCTGCCCCCCACACACCTACTTCCACCCCTTGGCCCATGTGAAGTCAATCATACACTATACCTGCAAAGCTTTTTCTCTTGAGCCAGACAAGATGGCACATGCGTGTCTGAGACAGGAAGATCATGAGTTCAAGGCCTGTGCTACACAGTAAGTTCAAGGCCAGCCTAGGTTTTATATCGAGAGACTTTGTCTCAAGAAAGACTTCTCCATGACAGTCTACATCTGAAGATCTCATAAGTCTCAAGAGCTCTCAGGGACCTCACTGCTCTGCTCCTCGATCCCCCCAGCCACGCATCGCCCTCAGATTTGAGTTTTTGCCCACAACTCCAGCTCTACCTCTTCCTCCTTCTCACCTGCAGCCCCGACTTTATATCTTTTCCTTCCAGACCTCACTCTCTGTGACTCACTATTCTCAAGCCACACTTGTCTTCTGAGCCTGATGAAACTTTCAAATGGACTCCAGTAAAGGGTGGCCCCCCCACAGAGCTGTGTGTCCCCAGGCAGGTCATTCTACCTCTCAGAGGCCTCAGTTTCCTTATCTGGACTCTAAGAGCTCAGGGAATTGCCCACACTTCTGCAATCCTCATTGGCCAGTCCTCATTGACTCTGAAATCCCCTCCCTCCCCACCCTGCCCCCAGCTGTTCTAAGCTGCTTGGCTGTATGACACCTTGAATAAAGATCATGTCCTCTGCGAGTCCCTGGGAACTTTGTGCAGAACCCACTTTGTTCTTCATTTAGACACAGCCCTAAGGTAGAAGCTCCTCTGGCTTTTCTGGCCCAGAACCTTTGCAATGCTACAAATTAGATGCTCAGGCTGCTGCTGCTGGCAGCGGAGGGCTACAACAATTAAAAGTGACGGCCGAGGGGCAGGCAGGGTAGCTCAGGGGTTGGGGAGGTGCCACCAAACCTGAAGACCTGCGTTCCATCCCTGGCACTCACATGGTGGAAGGAGAAAACACTTCTATAAGCCGTTCTCTGACCTCCACATGTGCACGTTTGTGCTTCCCCGTATATACAGTTAAATAAATGAATGTCGTTAAAAAAATTTAAGTGATGACCGAAAAACTACGCACTCCTGAAATCCCAGCACTTGGGAGAGGCAGGAGGAGTTCAAGGCCAACCTTAGCTACATATTGAGACCCTGTCTAAAAAATTTAAAAAGAGGCAGTATGTTGGAGCCTAACTAAGCTCTCATGTTTCCAGAACCTGCTGGTCTTCCACATCCATGTTTCCCATCTCTGTTCCCTCTGTGTAGAAAGGCCCCCTCCTTGCCCCACGCCTACCCAGTTTCTCTGATAGGTTCTGGAAGCTTCTGGAAGGCCACAGGAGACCACCCCACCTCAGAGCTCCTGGTCTGTGATTCCTGCTTCTCCTGACCCACGGGGCGGGGGGCGGGGGGGAGTACCTGACAAGTCCACCCTATTGGCAAGGGAGGAAGCCCTGTAGGCACCTGGCCCCCCATGCACATGAAAGTCCCTCTCTCCCCTGCAACTCACGGAACATGGTCATGAACTGCATGGGGTTGAGGTTCCAGTAACCCCAGTTGGTCCGGTAGCCGTGCAGCGTAGCATACTCCTCATGGTTGTAAGCAGGTTCCGTCCCAAAGGTGTCAATGACTCGGATTCGGCATCTGTTCCCAACCCCCCCAGGGAAGCAGGACTGAGGTCACATCTTTCTGGGTGGCCCTGGGCTGGGGGTGACCCTGCCATGGTGCTGTGGTCGGACACAGCTTTGTTGTGTGACCACAGCAAGTGTCTCACCCTATGTCAGCTTCCCCAACAGCTGCCTCAGGGGCTGCTTAGTCACCCTTGACATCTGGCCCCTGGTTGGTATTCAGAAAGGAACCCATCACCTTCCCTAGGAAGCCTAGGAAGAGAGGTGCTATCTGAAGGGGAGAGGATGGCCATTCACTGGCAAGGGTCATTTGTAGGCTGTACTTTATAATCCACAGACAGGGGACCTGGGAACCTAGACTTGGGGAAGGTGTTAGGAAGGCTCCTCCCAGGATGGACAGAGGTTCTGACTACCACCCTCCTCCACCATAACCCCTGCTCCCCACCCCTCAAGTCTTCTAGTCCAAAGCCCAGAGCCCCTGTAGAATCAGCCAACCTGGAGACAGATCCCCCCTGAGACTATGGCTCCAGAACCCCCGTCCTGGCCCCTAAGTGGTTCCTGAGGAGCCACGCTGACATTCAGACACCCCCACACGAAGCTGCCAGGCCCCAGCATTCTTCCGGGTGACCCAGAATCTTGCAGAGTGCTGAGGTCTGCAGGATTCCTATTCCCTGGGAGAAGGGGTAAGGCGGGTGACCGGGCAGCACACAGACAGCAAGCATTAATAATAAAAGCAATAACACCGCCCGTCACCTTTCCCTAATAAAAAATCACACGGGGTAGTCGATGGCACTGGAGCACAGGAATAAATAGCAGGGCTCTAGTACTAAATGAAACTCACTGCTGCTGCCTGAAGCCTGTCTGGCTTAGATCCAGGGGTTGCTGAGGAAGGGGTGCTGGGTCAACGCCCCTACCCCGGGTCTCCACGGTAGAGACCCCAGCACTGGGATGCTGTTCACCTCTTCCCCACCCGCTTTGTCCCCTGTGATCCCTCAGCTCCTTCATCCAGATCACCTCCAATTCCACCAGGCCCCAGCCTCTCTCTACCTGGCAGGGGCAAGCGGCTCTCCAGTGGGCTCTTAATTATCCGGTTGAGATGGAAAAGGAAGTTAGGGGCAGGAAGAAGGGGGGATGATGCAGTCCTCCACCCTGGCAGGAGGGCAGGCCCGGGGAGGAGCTCTCTGTGTCCCTGCAGAGGTCCCCACGTCCCCTGACCTCTCACCGGTACTTCTTGAAGGACAGCCCCATGTGCTGCTTCATCTGCTGCAGGCCATGGTAGTCCGTGTAGATGAGGTCAAAAGGCAGAGGCATGGTGAGCGGACAGTTCCCCCGGCCTGGCGGCACCCCTAAGTTACTGAGAGAAAAGTCTGTCAGAGTCTGAGCCCCAAGAAACCCACCTTCCAGCCAACCCTGGGCCCACCCGGTTCCCACAGCCCAGGGTGAAAGGGGATGAGAGGCTACCCAAGAGAAGCGAGCTGAGTGCAGGCTTGGAGAAAGAGCCAAAGGGATGGCCCGGACACTTGTGTAGGCTTTTCCCCGCGCATGGGAACCACCCCCCGCCCCCGGCCCGGGACAGGAACTACAATCCATCCAGGTAGCTCTGCCAAGCCGAGCACCTGGCCTGGCTACTGGCCAGGAGCTGTAGAGCTTTGTCTGCCCAGAGAGCAAACCTGGCTTTCACAAAGCATGATAAACATGAGCTTAAATCCTCCGCATCTCTTTCCTGTTCATTCAGAACTAAGGGTCCGGAATGTCATGTTTGACCCAGCTCCTGCAGGGGCCCCTGGGGACCTCCTCCCAACTTCGGTCACAGCTCTGAGTCCCCTGGGCTGGGCAGCCTCCTCCCTGCCACGTCACATAGACACAGGCTTTCATCTAGTGACCCAGATGCTAGGGCTGAGCCAGATGGGGCCGGTGACCCTCTGCTGCCTGGCAGGAGCCTGGCAGGAGCCAAGACAGTCATCTTGTCTCTTTGGAGCCTGAAGGACATGGCCACAGCCTTGTGGCTTCCTCTAGGATCACCATCAGCTCACTGGACTCCCTAAAGGGCTCCATACCTGGTCACAGTCACCCCAGCTGCCAATTTCAGCTGCCTTTAACCTCCAACTATCTGTCCATAAAACCATCACTTCCCACTGGGGCCCTTGTAAAGCTGAGTGGGAAATCCCGGTTTCTCCACTGTAGACCAGACTCTAGAACTCAGTAAGTCTGTATGGAACCCCTGTAACACTGGAGAGTGGGCCACTGCTGCCCACAGTTCCCTCCACCTTCTCCTTAGACTGGGCTGGAAGAGAAAACTCAGGGCTGAAATAATGCAGAACCTGGCCATATAGCTGCTTGGCACATATGTCCTCCCCATCAGGTCCCCCTATTTAACACACATTCCTCAGGGCATAGTGGATACCAGCTCCAACCCCTGTGCCCTGGGAGACTGGTACTCCCTTGAGTGTGAAGGCCACCAGGAAGAGTGTGTGGCCTGGGGAGGGACAGGGGATCTGAGCAGACAAGGCAGCCATCTGATCCAGCCACTCAGGGCTTATCTGACACCGAGAGCCAGGAGGACCCTGAACAGGCCAAGGATGCTAAAGCCCTCCTCTTCCTCTCTCAGCTCCTGGGGGTACAAAGCAACCCCCTTAGCGGGCTAGCTGCTCCCGCCTCTGTCTCAGCCAGGCCCTTTATTGCCTGCTGGGATATTGCCTCCTATGGATTGTACCTCAAATGTCTGTGTGCTGAAGGAGGTCCCAAGGCCTCCTGGGAGCCCCTCCAGGGATCACTCCATGAGCATCTTTGGGCGAGGGAGGTGATGGGTTCTGACAAGGACACAGATTCATAAACAACACGGACCATAACTGATCCATTGCCTGGGTCACGTCTCGGGCTCTCTGAAATAATTCAAGCCGGGTGGAAAAGTACCCACCAGGAACGCACTGTACTGATTTTGCGCATGCTCAGCCCATCACTGGCTGGGGGAGGAGCTAGTGCAGTGTCCTCTGGGCTCACCCTCCACAGTGGCATCTTTTCTGGGATGTGGATGGCACCTGCCCATGGGACTATAGGAAGACACTGGGGTTGGGGGTTGCTGATGGGAATGGAGGCCTCAGGGGTGGGCCTGTACCTGAAAAGCAGGATGACAGGAAGGGTGGAGCCAGCACACCTGCCGTGCTAAGTTGCCCTCAGTAAAGTTCCCCCACCAACACCAGAAGCTGTGCTACTAAATGTGGTACCAGGAAAGCAAAACCCTAATGACCTCATTTATTCTAATGTATAACCTTAAATGTGGCCATGACCCCTGCCTCCTCCCTCCACCCTCCGGGGTGCCCCTTTCCCACAAAAGCCACACACAGCAGTATTGGAACCGGAACTGGGCTTCTGAGGCAAGGATGCCTCCGGAGCCCAGCCAGCGACGGGGAATGAACAGAGAGTCCAGGCGGCTGCGCTGTGGAAGCAGCTCTTCCAGCTGGAAACCTCATGAAATATTTGGTGGTGGTTTTGTGTATTTTGAGTATTCCTCTGCTCTGCAGGGCGCCCCTGCTGTGCCTTCTCTCACCCCTCCCCCACCAAAAAAACCTCCTGGAGTAAAGTCAATGATCCAGAAAAGAGCTTTGCTGTTACCCAGGGCTCCAGAAGCGCCTTGTAGGAGGGAGGGAGGTGCCCCTCCTTCTTGGCTCCCCACCACAGACCAAAAGAACAGGGACCATTCGTCAGTCCCTTCCCTTGCAGATATAAGGAAGGGAGTAGCCACCTGCCAGCAACCTAGGTCTGGTAAAATGAAGACAGCTCTGAAAATATGAACCACAGGTGGGTCTGGGTACTGACACCTACACTGTGAAATCACAGGTCTCCCCACATTTTTCTGGAAGCTTCCAAATGACATGTGTCACTCTATCCCAAGACTTCCTCTCACTTACCACATCTGTGACCCCAGCCTCAGACACCTGAGCCCTGGAGGCCAGGTAGGTGGGACCGAGCTTGTGCTTGCTCTGTCCAGGAAGAACTCCAATGTGACATTCCCAGGCAGGGACACTGTCCTTGGCAACTTCTTCATGGATACATTTTGTTTTTAATTTTGAAAAATATTTTATTATTTTTAATTTTTGTGTATGACTATATTGCCTGCATGTAAGTGCATCCGTGTCGTGCAATGCCCACGGAGGTCAGAAGAGGGCATTGACCCCTGGAACTGGAGTTACAGATGGTTGTTAGCTGCCATGTGGGTTCTGGGAATTGAACCCAGGTCCTCCACAAGAGCAGTGCTCTTAACCACTAGGCCATCTCTCCAGCCCCATGGATGCATGTTGAACACAGGCAGTGTGCTAAAGTGATTTCAGTGTGTGTGTGTACAGTATGTGTACTTGTTAGTGTGGGTGTGCTCATGTACACACATACACAGGAGGCCAGAGGCTGATGTTGGGTAACTTTCCTTGATCTCTTTCCACCTTTACTTTTTGTGTATCTATATGTTTAGTATACATGTATGTGTTTGTTTGAATGTGTGTGGTGCACACGGATGCTGGCGTGTGAGCATACCTGTTGTTGCTTAGCACCGTCTTCTGACTGGCATGCTATGGACAGACGCCTTCTTCCTAAGCTTCGTCGTACCTGCTTGCTTAAGATCATCACAAAACTTGCTGCCATGTTTCCCAACCAACCAGTTGGCCCTAGTTGTGCGGAGGGGAGGGACTAAAGGCACAGAAGCGGAGGAAGCCACTGGGAGTCCCTCTTGCCATTTTGTGCGGCTGCTGGGCAGTCACAGTCCATGCCTGGATGGGACTTTCTGGTGCTGCCTTAGAAGGGGAGCACCCACACTCCAGTAAGTAACCACCCACTGCGCTGTGAGCCCAAATCAACTCTCTGGTTTCCCAGACTGCACTTCAGAGAGATTAGGCCTTGGTTTGTTGTAGGGACAGAGGGAGGCATCTGCATCTCCCAGAAGGAAGTTTAGCAACACCTGTGGAGGCCCAAAGTTGACGTTGCGTATTTTTATCCTCTTTGATCACTCACTACCTTATATACTGAGGCATGGTCTCCCAACTGTGCCCAGAGTTTTGGCCTTCGCCGGTCTAGCTGGCTGGCTGAAATTGCAGGAGGACTGTCATAGCCATCCCCCAGCCTTCCCTGAGGTTCTGGACACTAGTCTTTACACTAGCCCAGCAAGCACTTTACCCACTGAGCCACCTCCCCAACCTTATCATTTATTTATTTATTTATTTATTTATTTATTTATTTATTTGGGTCTTTTTGAGACAGGGTCTCCCTGTAGCCCCAGCTGTCCTGAACTTACTATGTAGACCAGGCTGGCCTCAATCTCACAGAGATCCACCTGCCTCTGCCTCCCAAGTGCTGGGATTAAAGATATATGCCACCATACCTGGCTTTAATTTTTTAAAAGATTTTTTTTATTTTATTTTGTGTATATGAGCATTTTGCCTGCATGTATGTATGTGCACTACATGCATGCAGTGCCCAAGCAGGCCAGAAGAGGGTGTCAGGTCTCCTAGAATTGGCCTGCCCTGACAGAAGCTGTTCTGTCAGAAGCTGTTCTCTCAACCCAGAAGGTTCCATTCACCTCCAGATCCAGAGCTTACACATTACCTCCTCCTTCAGGAAGCCTTCTTGGTCCCGTGTCCCTGTGCTCCTTCCCTGTCCTCCTCCCCTCACTTCCTTTGGTGTGTGAGGGTGCATGTATGTGTATGTGTGTGGTTCTATGTATGTGGAGTATGCACAGCATGTATGCACAGGTGAGAGCTCCTGAGTGCATGGGTGCACGTTTGTGGGCTTGAGTGCAGAGGCCAGAGTTGGACATTGAGTGTGCTACTCTATCACTTCCTGCTGTATGCCTTTGAGTCAGGGTCTCTCACCAAACCTGGAGCTAGGCCGTCAGTCAGCAAGCCCCAGTGATCCTCCTGTCTCCATCACCCATAGTGCTGGGGTTACAGGAGTACATGGTCACACATGGCTTTTTTTTTTTTTATGTGTATGAGTGTATTGTCTGCATGTATGTAAGTACACCCGTGTCATGCAGTGCCCACAGAGGTCAGAAGAGGGAATCAGAGTCCCCTGGACCTAGAGTTACAAACAGTTCTTGGCCACCATGTGGGTGCTGGGAATCGAACCCAGGTCCTCTGCAAGAGCAGCCAGTGCTCTTAACCACTGAGCCATCTCTCCAGCCCCAACACATGGGTTTCCATATGGTGCGCAGGTCTTCAAGCACTCCTATCTACTGAGCCAAACCTCCAGCCCTCCCTCCCTTTTTCACACTAGTCATACCTGGGGACACACCTGGCGACCGTTCCAAGTCATCTTGTCTCAACTATGGGCTCCTTGAGAGCAGATCAGCTTTGACATTTCAGGAAT